TTGCCATAGGAGCATCGTATCAGTATCGACCATGAGGTTATACCACACCAGCGCCAGGAGTGACGAATCTGCAGTCGTACCAGTCTTGGGCCGCCGCGCTGGCGCTAATTATGAAGTTCAGAATTGCAACAATCCGCACCCTGCCAGTGTCGTCGTAGATCCGAACCCGAGTCGACCCGCTGCTGTAGTTCCGGACCTGTCGTAAAATGTTGTAGCAGTTCTGGACCTGAGAGTTAATCTCCGCGGGAGCTTTAACGAGCGCAAGACCTGAAATAAGCTGATGCCGAACCCACACCGAGCCTGAAACAATTGTTGTAACGGTGTCAGTTCCGAACCCGAACTGAGCTACCGCGGTGGTCCCTGACCTGAAAATAAATCACTACTAGGGTTCTGACCCTGAAAACGAGACGCCGTAGTGGCCTCATGCCTCAAACATACTGATGCCGACCATACCGAACCAGAAATATACCCCTACAATGGCTGGAGGCCTGAAGATAAATCACCGTAGAGGTTCCGAACTTGAAATAGATCGTCACAGTGGTCCCGGACCTGAGAATAAATCACCACAGAGGTCCCGAACCTGATATAGATCGCCGCAACGTTTCTGGACCTAAAAACAAACTGCCATTAAGGTTCCAAACCTGGAATAACTGTCGTAGTGGCTCCGGTCCTGAGAATAAATCACCCCAGCTATCCCAAACCTGAAAATAAGTCACCGTAGTGAAACAGGTGTCAYCGGGCCCATACYGTACCTGAMGCACGTCRGACACCGTAGGACGTAGCCACTTCGTAACATCCCTCGTACCCGCACCGAACCAAACATCATAGTGACCCAAGCTAGCACCTGTCCATGCGTCTCCCGCTCTCAGAATATCCCAACTGCGGTAGTGTTAGTAATCAAGCAAACCAGCGAAAGCGACGCAGGGAACCTCGACCATCAGCAGTATCGAAAACTGTTAAAATCCGGGGAAAATGTTCAATCCGGGGTCAAGGCTGATGGCGGGTAATCGAGACGAAATTAGGCCAATCTCCAAATAATCATGGGTTTCTGTCCCTTTCATCGTTTTTCATCATGCTTCCATTTCCTTAATTCTATTGTCGGAAATAGTAAACCAACTGTAAGTTCCCTAAAATTAAATTCCGAGAAAGTTTAAATAAATGGCTGAATTCCTTCTGTTTCTTTTCTCTTTTACCATTTTTAATCTCTTTCTATGTTTTTAATTTCATTGCCGCGAACATACAATAACAAGGGTGTTCCCCCTAGAATTAAATGCCATGAAAAATAAAGAAATTAAGGGATATTATGTTTTTCCCTTCTCCCCTACCGGTCTTAATCCCTTCTCCCCCTCTTTACTTTGGTACTAAAATAGACAAAAATTCGAGGCCTCTTTTCGGCCCCGGTCGTATTGCTGCAAAAACGTTGCAGCGAGGTCAGTTCCCGCGATGCCTCTCCGYGACAGGCCTATCCGGGTCTAACCTTYTGAACGGCTGGAAATGGCGGTCTCTAGATATGYCGAGTGCGCCTACCCATCTCACTATCTTTGAGGGTTARTCGTAAGGTTCAGTGTGCTCAAAATCAGGGGTGCGCTGAGTTCTCCTAATTTTTGCTGCCTGGTCATACCAGAGTACCGTCAAAACACGGACTTGTCCCTGAGCCTAAGTCCCAAAACCGCAGATTTCAGGCGGCGCACTGCTTGTGGCCGCCTAACAGTTAGCCCGGACCACTTCTCGACGCCCCCATCGAGCCCTATCCACTTACGTCAAATGAAGCGGACGAGCTTCAGAGTGATTGCCCGTAATGGACGCCCACGTCGGCGTTTAATTGTCTTATGTTTCGGTTCGTTACGAGTTCTAGGACTAAGAAGTCGCTTCTTGACTCCCCTTTTTCTTCGGAAATTTGGCCTGTAAAAGATTCTCCCTCTCTTCTGAGGTCGGCCCGTGATAGGTGCCGGCTCGTCAGCTTATCTAATACGAACTCTCCGTCTGGCTCTCCTGAGCACGAATAACCACTTCTTACTATCTCCCATCGCCAACCCTTGACCTTTCTTTTCTCCACCCTTTTCCTCTTCTTGGAACTCTCTCCCGCCTCATATCGCCTCTAGGGGGCTTCATCCTCCATTTTGGTCTTCTCTTTCCCTTTCGGGCCTGTCCGCGAGAAGGTGGGTGCAGACCTGGGTCTAAACAACTTTAACCTAGCACCTGTCATTGGGTCCTTCCACTTGGATCCGTCTAATTCCGCTATCATATATGCACCCCTGTCGAGTGCCTCAACCACTCTATAAGGTCCCATCCATCTGTTTGCGAGTTTTTCGGTCCAGGTCCTCTCCAGTGATGCGTCGTAGAGAAGGACCATATCTCCTATGCTCACCCTCTCCTTTCTGATCCGCACGTTCTTATCCCATCTCTCTTTACCTTTGTCCCTTTCCACTGCCAGACGATCTGCCGCTGTCATAAGGTTGTCTTCCAAACCGTAGGCTATCTGTCTTGTTCGGGCAGCTATGAGTTCCTCTCGGGACATCTCCTCCGCCCAGTCAATGGTCGTCCAGCTGTCGATGTGAAACTCTATGGGGAGCGGACAATGTCGCCCAAACCATAAGGTGTAGGGTGGGAACCCAGTGCTAGCCCGGACCGTGACGTTGTCCGCCCATATCGCATATCGAAAATATCGTGGCCAATCACTGTCCTTACCCTTGCACCACTTGGATAGTGACGCTATCAGAGTCTGGTGTCCCCTCTCTACTGGGGAGTTCGACTGTGGGTGGTAGGGAGTGGCTATCGAAACTCTCGCCCCAGCTCTCTGGAAAACGCTYTGAACCTCGTCGRCTAGRAATTCCGCCCCTCTGTCCATCACTATCTTGCTGACACAACCATACCTAGATAAGTACTCTAGGACAAAGTTSTTCACTTCCTTTGCCGCCTTACTCCTTATAGGTCTACCGTCCACGAACCCAGTGAAATCGTCTCGTATGTTCACGACGTAGTTCATATTGCCTACCCCTTTCGGCATTTTCACCAGATCGRTGTGTACMTTCTCTCCTGGTCTGGTCGGATAGGATGGATGAAGTGGCTCTTTGTATTTCACAAGAGCTCTCTTCAGGCACTCTTCAAAGGTCATACAGTACCTCTCGACGTCCTTATACTGTCTTTCCCACCAGTACAACCTGCGTACCTTTTCGTAGGTTCCTTTGACTCCCCTGTGTCCTCCGACTACCCCGTCGTGAAGCTCCGCAACTATTGTTTGTCCCTCCTCAAGGTCACAGACTACTCGTAAGGACATCCCCGAGCCGACCGACCTTCGAAACAAATGGCCAGCTCTAAGGCAGTACTGCGCCGCTTGTCTCCAGATATCTGATTCTTGACTCTCCTCTCCTGACAAATGTAGCCCGATCATTCGGTATTTGCCCTCGTTAAGGTTAACCAGAAATCCCTCGGTGCGTCTTGGCTCCGCCATAGTCAGGGCTCCAGCTACTATCGGGCGCTCGGCCTCAAGAGGGATGCGCGAAAGTCCATCTGCCACGGCATTTTTAGTGCCAGATATCCTCTCAACTGTGTAATCATATAGTTGAATCCGTATTAACCATCGGGCGATGGTAAGGTCCAACATACTAAAGTCCTTCTGGAGGATAGAGGCAAACCGCGGTGGGGTCTACTCTCAAGATGAACCGTCGCCCATAGATATAGTGTCTGAACGTGTCTAGACACCGCAGAACAGCTAACATTTCCTTCTTGAATTGACTCTAGTTACGCTCAGTCGTATTAAGTGTTCTACTCTCAAATCTTAACGGTCTTTCCTTCCCTCCAGCGTCCATCTGAGACAGCAACCTACCAACCGAACAAGGTCCCACATCCGTGCATACTATGAAAGCTCTCTCGGTCTCATCGTCAAAGAATGCACGCCCAGTACGCGTCCTCCCTCCTTAAATTCGACTTTAAGGTCCTGCATAGCCGTTTCTTGCGAGGAACCCCAACAGAATTTCTGAGTCTTTCGAAGGAGTAACCTCAATGGCTCAGCCTTCTCCGCATACCCTCGTATGAATATACGCCAGTATCTGACCACCCCCAAAAACTGTCAGACCTCGGTTAGACTATGTAACGGTGACGGTCAGTCCAGGAGTTTGTCTAGCTTCGTCGGATCTGCTCGGCGTGCTCTCGAGTCACAGATAAAGCCCAAGATCTTAATAGTCGAGACGACCCATCGACTTCCGCTGACCGTTAAATTCGCATCGTCGAGCTGCTCAAGTACCACGCAAATATTTGTTAGGTGTTGCTCGACGAATCTTCAACTCCTGGTATAACCTCTGTCTCATCCTTGTTTACTGGCCTTTTTATAGGAAAGTCATCCAGAAAAACCTCAACCTTATCAGGGATGAAGTCCTTGAGGACGGCTACCATGGCTTTCTGAAAAACAGCTACCCCATTAGTCCATCCCATAGGGACAATCATCATCTGTATCAGTCCCAATGGCGTATGCATAGCCGTGAGGTGCCTGTCCCTCGGATCAAGCGGTACCTCATCATAGCCTGAGAACAGATCATAGACCGAATAAATTGACCTGCCTGCAGCGCCTTTTGCTAGTAAATCGGCGTGCGGCATGGAGCCCACGTCTCGTATCGTCACCGCGTTGACCTTCTGAAGATCCTGTATCCATCGGATCTTGCCATTCGGCTTTTGTAGGAAGAACCATCGATTAGCATAAGCGCTATCAGACGGCTCCGCTACATGGAAAACCATCTTTTCTTTCAGGAAAGCGATAACTTCTTCCTTCTCCTTCTGGGCGTATTTCCATCCTGCGTCATTCTAAGGAACATGTGGTATCATGTAAATCCTCGCTGGCTTAGCGTATCGAGGGTCAACTCTACCGCGCTCCGCGTCGCTGAAAACTATTGCCTTATCACATGTCTTCAGAATTTCTATCACACGTTCTCGCTCCTGTGCGGTCAGATTTCCATCTCCGATGTCCATCCCTGCTATCCTCTCTTCCATTAGGCGTTGTGGCTCCTTTTTCTTTCTTTCTTTGATTTCTTTTACGATTTTTTCTTCCGATATCCCTTCCATTGGAGATCGCTCGCGGCCCACTGCCGCTGGCTTAACTTTTTGAGCTACTCGCTAGTGTCGCTTGGGTAGCCCCCCATAGGGGACCGTGCCCTTAAAAACGACATAGATACCGCCCCGCTAAATTCCTCATCTGTCTCCTTTAGGTACGAGTTGCCATCCACTATCAGCCGACCCCCTAAATCTTCCACTTCCACGATCCGACCTTCTTCCTCTGTGAGCAGTGGTCCATACTTCTTCTCGCGAAATCGCACCGCGAGGCCAGAGATAGGTAATGACTTAATCTGATCAATGGGTCTTGCTCCCACTGCGAGAGTTGCTCTGTTCCTTGGGTCCCGAGGCTCCACCGTCTCAATCATAACCCGCGTCCCATCTAGCTTCTTAATGGACAACGTTTGGCTTCTATCCGGTCGTTCTATCGTCACCGCATGCACGTGGCTCAACCACGTTCGTCCCAAGAGCAGATCGGAGCTGCAATTCTTGACTGCAAAGACGGGCAGGGTCACTCGTACCCCTTGGACCTCTATGGCTGCCTTGTGACAAACCCCAGTGATCTGTTGCTTTCTCCCATCAGCAGTCTCTATCTCGAATAGGTATGACCTATCGAGGCCCAGTCCAACCTGTACTGCCAGATCCTCGTCTATAATGACAGCCTCACTGCCATTATCGATCATAGCATCTAGTACCGCTCCATCGTTTATGATCGTGTCCACGGCCCCACTACCAAGTATGTAAAACTTCTCTGGTGGCACACCTTCCATCCCATCAAGAAGGACTGTCGCCATGCGATCCGCTCTGGCAGTCCCCCCCGTTACTGCTACGGTAGGAGCTTCCGCCTTAGGGCCCCCCTGAGTCTCCTCTGATAGAGGTATGCGAGTCTTTCGTGTGATCATCTGTAACTCATCACGAGCTGGCTTCGATGCCGCCAGGTACTCCAGAATAGAGCACTGCATGGGCTGCCGAAGGGCCCGTCTCAATGGCTCGACAGTGTCAATCTTATCCAGCAAACTCTTCATCAAGAATTTCTTTACTCCCCGCTTTCGCGGTGAAAGAATAACCTCCTCTCCATCGATCCGCTGCCCGCCATCCTTCTCTGCCATCACGTAATCCGTGTCGGTCTTCTTCGATGTAGATCCTCTCGCAGACTTGGTGGCTGCCACCCTTATGGGTGTGGTCGCCATATCCCCCTCAAAAGTTATCTTGATGCTCTGACTCCTGACCGGTTCCTTTCCTTTACTCGGCTTTACTCTCCTTGCTTCGACATTCTCCTTCATCGAAGGGAATATCTATACATCTCCCAGATCATCTACCCATTTGACGTACTTGTGGTCGTCAAGCACGACAAACCCCTCATCTATTGCCCGTTTGAAGTCTGGGCAATCTCTCTTGATATAATCATCCCCTCTACAGTAGACGCAAGAGTTCCTAGGGGTGGGTCGCCTATCGCCCGTGCCTCTGGAGGTCGTACCTCTCGCTGCTCTAGGGTCAGGCGACTTGGGATACGACTCTGATGAGGCGCCATATCCCCCTCTCTCATTCCGACCGCGCGAATCGTTGGGGCGGTTTCCCCCAGATCCTCTTGACTCATATCGTCCCCGTGAATCGTTTCGGTGGTCCCCAGCGTCGTATCGCCCGCGTGTCTCATCGCGCCGATCTCCTCGGCTGTACCATCCTCGCGAATCGTCGCGCCGCTCTCTCGCGTATCCCCCGCGGTCATACCGTCCGCACGAGTCGTCTCGTCGGTCCACGTCTTGACCTCCTCTCTCATATCCGCCACCTCCGTAGCCATCTCGATCCGTCCTCTCATATCTTCCGTCCCTATATCCATCTCGGTCTGATCTCTCATATCTGCRGTCCCTGTATCCATCTCGTCGGCCCTGATCTGACTTCCACCGGCCTCTAGAGTCGCCTCTACCCCGATCGGCCTCATAAYGAGGGCTACGCGAGTAATCATCCAGCCTCCTAGCTCGCCCATAYGTCTCGCGAGCTCTGTGGTCCARGTCTATCTCGTCATCCCTATGTCGCCATGGCTCATCGTCTCTCTCTCTTTCCCTCGTACGATAATCAGTCAGCGTGCGAGGATTTCTRTCCTCGACACTCCTCCAGGAATCGGTGTTCCTCCGATCCCAGCGAAGTGAATAGAGCCCTCCGGGTTTGTCCCGGTAAGTCGTGGCTCCTGTGCTTGTCACAATCTCGGTAACSTGTCTTGTCAATCCCTTTACCATGTCCCTTATCTCCTTCACTTCCTCGGCCACGGCTTCACTCTTCTCCGACCAAGGGTGATCCTTGAAATCAGGGCATCTATCCGTGGCATACTCCTTGTAGAGAGAGAAATCACGTCTCCTCATCCCTCTCCACACTAAGTCCTTGTAGTCGTTTGCTTCTGCCTTTGTCGCAAGCTTTAGGACTTCTGGGAAGTTAAGCTTGTAGCGCGGAAGATCTCTAAGTATACTCTTTTGTCTATCTTTGGACAGGTGTCCGATGAAGATACTACAGCGTTCGACCTCTTAGATCTTCCCCATCTTGATCAGCACGTCGGAGATCTTCTGGAAGCGCATCCCAAAGGCCCGTATGCTCTCATCCTCATCTTGGGTCATCGTTTCAAGGTCCTTGATGGAGTACTTGTTATCCTCCAACTTGTAAAGCTCTACGAGGTTCTTTTTGTACGTAGTCCATTTCCCATCCTTGGCTTCCTTAACTTTCTTGTCGAGGCTTGGGTCCACATTAAGTAGGAAGTTCTCTATAATCTCTTCCTCCGACCATTAACTCCGACTTGCATGAAGCTCCCACTTCTCCAGATATTCTGTGATGCCATAACCCCTAAAAGTAAGTGGCTCAGAGGCCTTGTGCGTACTAATATAACGGTCCTTGCTCTCGTAAGGGACCGGATGCGACTCCCCTGTCTGAGGGTCGAAGACTCGCCTGGGCGGCGCTCGGTCTCTATCTCTGTCCCTCCAATAGGAATCCCTCGAACTCTCCCGCCAGTCGTCTCTGTGCCTATCCGCCATGGTCTCCCTCCGCTCATACTCGGGGGAGCGTCATCTCGTCGCTTCTCGTCGACTGCTCGAGGTTCCCATCTTCAGTGCCTCCTGCGGCTCCGTCACGACCGGCTCGCCCATTACGTCGGGCTCTCCGTCATTGGTTTGGTCAGCCCATCTCAGCGGTGCGTCCCACCTAATTGGTTCCTTCAGATCCCTCAGAGCTCGGTCGGGCGATGTTCTGTACTCCTCTCCTGTCTCGTCCATGGTCGGTTATGGCCCCATCGTATCTGGTTCCATAGGCCACCAGAAGACACAGCCAGGCACTCTCGCCGGCTGTTACAGCCCGGACTTATTACAGTTGCTGCAACCCGGATCTGTGACGGAACTCGCAGCCCGGACCGGTTTCAGAACTCGCAGCCCGGACAAGTTTCAGAACTCGCAGCCCAGACCAGTTTCCTTGTCACGGTTCACGCTCGTCACCAACCCTAGCTCTCGACTGCCCTGATCACTGCCACCAGTACTCGGTTCCGGTCGCAGATCTTGTGCTCTCCCTCTATCCCTAGAATCCCTGTGTCTAGGTAGACCTCCCCTTCGGGATCGGCCAACAAGGTTGCGCCTCTCCGGATCTGCAGTATACCCGTGACAAGATCCCTACACCTGCGGCAGATCGCAGTCCCTAGCCTAGCCTATGTCTCCTGATCAAAACTCAAGGGCCTCCGAGCGTCTAACTCCGCCCTCCTTCCTTGGTCTCATAGCCCGTCCTGAATCGGGTAGCGTGTTGAAGGTGGAAGCTCTCCTCCTACTGCCATCCAAAGTCGTTTGCCGACCTTTCTGACCTGTACTTTCTTTCTAAGAGCTTCCAACCTCTATTTCTCCTCCTTCAACTCCCAGACAGCTATGAGATCATTTGTCTAGCGCATGAGGTAAGTCGGTGCTATAGCTACTAGTAACCTCATTGCCGACAGCTCCAAAATGTCATAGAATGTCTCAAAGTCCTCCTCATCTCCACCATCTTCTATGGCCTCTAAAGTCTTTATCGATCCCTTCCAGTACCGATCGTGAGCGGCTAGCACCCTGAGTATGGCACCGTCTGTTACAACTCTCCCTAACTCTCCAGCTTTCCTGGCTTCGCTTATCTTCAACCTCTCAGCCTCTCTAGTCGTCTCGTACCATGCCCTTATCTGCGACCGTCCTTCAAAAGGTGTTACTCGGAGTATGTATTTTATCCTCCGTCCTCCTTCTATTCCAATCCAAAGTCATGTCCCCCTGGCCTCACGCAGGGCACGGCGGACACACTCTGCCTCCTCAACGCACAGTCTGGTATGGAGCTGGAGCTCTACGATCACCAACACCAATGGTCCGTCCAATCTCCCTACCACATGCAATGAGCACCGATCCGTCGTGTGTAGTGCAGTCCCGCTCATGTCCTGTCGCTACCTCCCTGCGTTACCTCGTCCTCCGTTGTTACGCCCTCTGCAGACCTCTTACTAGTTCCTTCGCGTGATACGCTTTTAGCCTTTACCCTCTCCAGAAAGTCTGATCTCCACGCCTGGATAACTCTCTTTCCTCCCTAAACAGACTCTCCAACTCTCTCGTCACGAGCTCAGCCCCACACAACTTGCTCTCATCCTGGCACGGCCAGATCTCCCTTAACTTGTTCCCCAACTCCTTTACCTGGTTCAAAAGCAGTTTTTTAATGCGCTCTCTCACTCTTCTGACTGCATCACTCTCCTCTTCCATTCTCAGTCTTCATATTTTTCCAGCTCATCCTCTCACTCTTGCTCTAGCCTCCTCTACCGTCTCGTCATGGAAGTGTTCCGCACGCATATAGCCATGTGACCATATCATCACCTCATAGGAAATCGAGGTCTGGAAGGTTACCCGCGCCAGTACATCAGCTTTATGCTCGTGTATCAAATCCCTGGCTCGTTGTCTGCACTCCCTCATTGTCAAGTCCCCATCTATGTATGCTCGGAGTAGTACCGTCACAGTGTACCCGGTGCTCACCAGTTGCTCTCCAACACGCATCACTGTGGCCGCTCTCCCCGGCATTCCCTAAGCTGCGGCCTCGAAGAGAAACCTCACATCCTCCAGCCCCATGTAATCGATCTCCGCCCATCTCCTGTAGTACCTAATCAGATCGACTGGGCTCAGACATTCCACCCAGTTAGTAACGTTTATGATGTCGTCAAGCGTCTCTCTACTGGGCGGTCCCCACCTCACACAAATGACGTAGTATACTTCTCTGAAACGGGGCGCTAAGCCCTCCCAGAGCGCGTAAAGTGAGTGGTCCACTGCTCTACTCAAACGTTCTACGCTCCCATAGGTCTGCCCTATCACGAAGGCAGGAAGTCCAAATCGCCAATCCTCTCTCGGGTGGAGGGTCGGATGTGGTGGACCGTATACCAAGCGGCTCCAACGCGTCCTCCCTCCAGAGAGTCTTGCCAGTTGCTGATTAATGATCACTCTGGCCAATGACTCGCTTCTCCACCAACTCCTWCTCGCCCCTGCGAGCGTCAGYCCTATCTYTWAATCGTGTGCTCTATCCGCTATCAGATGTCCGACCCCTTCTAGATCATGAGTCCTCTCGGGTCGTTCGTCTCATAGTATCACTGTCCAAAGGAAGAGCCCCTCTGCGAGCAACGTTCCCAAGTACCGTATCGGAATACGCCCTGCCCCTTCTAACGCCACAGGAAGTGGAATGTCGTATCCAACCATTGTCTCTCTGGGTCCCACAAGCTTCCTCACACTTTACGATTCGGACTCTCGTGAGAGAACATAAGCTTACCAGGCCACTGAGTCACTCCTCATCTCCTTTCCGACTCTCAGTCAGCATCACTCTACTCCCTCCGATGCACCCTATCTCTCGACGTTGCTAACCCCTCAGACAACTCTCGCACTCAGGTCCAGTATGGTCGAGTAGGTGTTGTGCGCTCTCCCGTTTACTCCATGGAAGTAGATAGTAAACTCGACTTATCTCTGGCTCCTCCGTATCTCCAAGGCATGTTCCGTCATGAGTCCGATCTGTCGCTCAACAATCTCTAACGCCTCTCCTTCCCAGCCACCCGTCCTATCTCGCCGCAGGGAAAGAGTCACCCTCAGCATATCCCGGTCTGCCATACTCTCCGCTACTCCCTTCTCTAAACCTCACTCGGATATGTCCTGCCTCTAGTCGTCTCTCGCATCTGGCATATCCTCATTTGTGTCCTCATCTAGCCTCCGACCCCATGGGATATCCTCCTGTCCCTCGGCCTATAGGTGATGTCCCCAACCGTCCTCCTGGTCACCCCAGGGTCTATGTCATCGAAGTCCTCCCAATCCCGATCCTCGGCGTACCACGCAAGATCGTCAGCTTCTGGATATACCTGCTGGTAATACTCCTCAACCTCSCCGGTGGAGATGAGATGGCCCGGCCTCTCCTCACGAGTGTCGGCTAACAGCTGTCCCACTCCAGCTAAATGATCAGTAGGCCTCCGAGCCTCTCTCTCTAGTGTCGTCCAGAAGGCTAGTGCCTGGTACAGAGAATACAGGTCGGGGCTCCCGGTAGGTACAATGGTCTGCAGGAACTCGATCAACTGGATCCCTCGCTCGCCTACAAGCGGCCCTGCTACAAACTGCGCATACAACACCCAATCCCTGTCAGTGTACCCCCGGCAGAGGTCGTCCAAGTCAAGAGCCGCAAAGTAGATCTCACCCAAACGTCTAAGTCCCCAAAGCTCCTTCGCCACGAAGCACAGAAGTGTCACTCGCAGTCGACTGCTAGGATATGGGAAGTGTCCTCCAATCCTCAAGGTCGTCGTCACTCCCTGAACACCCTCGTGCAGCCGCTCTACCTCGCCCCGCGCGGAGTCTGCTCGGGCCAGTAAAATACTCCTCGCGCTCTGCTCCTTTCGCCAATGATCGTGCACAATGTCGTGGAAATAGACTGTGGCTAGCACCTCCCGCGAGTAGTAAATGTGGCCCACTACCTCTATACTAGTCGTACCTAGTC